CGAGGCACGGTGCTGCTCGGTGCGTTCCACAAGACACCGGGAAGATATTCTAAAGATACTATGAGATCTGTTAGGATACATATGATCCCATGATTCCTGTAATCTGTTATTACTTTCCAGTTATCTCCTAGATCTAACCGACTTGTAACCCTGCCTCCTGAACTATATAAGGCGGGCAGGGACCCCCTCCAAACACACACAATATCATATGATAGCCAATACAATCCAACAGACCATAGGAGTAGGGTATTACGTCACGCCGACGGCCCGAACCTATCTAACTCTTGTGTCTCTGTAGCCTTCTTTTTCTCGATTACACGCATCTCTGCCGATCAATCTACCTTCGTGGGATACCCCTCGGAGGACTACCGACGATATTCTATCGACAGAGCGATAGTGCCACGGGTGAAATTTGACATCTGCTTGAGTTTTGTTTTAAAAGGCCTATTCACCCCCCTCTAGGCTAACCAGAGATCCTACACATAGATAATAAATCATCACAAGAGGTAGATACATGCTTCTTGCCTACATCATAAGGGTTAGCAACAATATATTTTATTGATCATTTGACCCATGTGATGAGATCTCACTAGTTTTAGATTTTTCATTTGAAAGCTCCTTAGTAAGAAAAGCATGGTCTTGTACCAAGTTGTCATGAGCAACACTAAGTTCCTCATGAGCCAATTTTAGCTCCTCATGTGAACAAGTAGTAACATAAAGTAGATGCTTTTGTTGTTCACATGTGTTCTTTAGAAAAGAGTTTTCCTTTTTTAATTTTTCAGTTTTAGCCATCTCTTTTTTCAAAGATTTGATCATGCAACCATATCTATCTAGAAGCTCCTCATATGAAACAAGATCAGTCACATTTGCATTAGATACCTTAGTGTCACCTTGTGACATGAAGCAATGTGATGTAGTGGATGAGCTTGTAGACACATCACTCTCATAGCCCGAGCATGATCTATCATCATCATCATCAAGTGTGCATGGAGTAGCATCATCATTAGCATCACTTGTGGCATCATCATCAATCTTGTCAAGTGATCTTGTGGTATGATCATCATCATCACTTGACCATGAGGTGGAGCAATCTTCCATAATCACCAAATTGTGGTCATGCTCAACACACTCATGCACCTCCTCCTTGGGCTCATCATCATCATCATCATCGGAGACCGTCCCATACTTCTCATTGAGATAACTCCAAATCTCATGGGCGGCCTTCATGTCAATGATCTCTCCGAAAATGCTATCATTCAAAGATCTATACATGATGTCAATAGCTTAAGTGTCAAGATCTAGGCATTTCTCTTGTGCTTGAGTTAGATTATCTTCATCCAACACATGAGAAAAGCCTACATCTACCATCCACCACATTTGAGGGCAAACAAACTTAAAATTGAATATCATCCAATTTTTCCACCGTGTAAAGTGTGTGCCATAAAAATATGTGGACAATCAACATCTAGCCCATAAGCCGCCATCCTCTCAGGTTGGTGAATACCACAAATGAGAGACCTAGCTCTAATACCACTTGTAGGGTCGAGATGACGGAATAGAGAGGGGGTGAATAGTCCTTTCTAAAAAATAATCGCCCTGGCTAACTGAAATAAATACGGAATTAAAACTATCGGTCTAGCCAAGACTACAGTCCTCTATCTAAGTTCTCAAACACCTTACAAAGATCCTAATTAGGCAACAAAGGTGCTAGGCTAGCTAGAACTCACCTAAACAATTCTAGAGCAAGGTCACACAAACCTATGCACTAGTACTTTGGCAACTGGGGAGCTCCTACACATGCTAGTAAGCAAAAATATAAAGCCACCTAAGCTCACTAGCAATGCTCAATAACAAGGCTACACAAGCCAAATTATAGAGCGTAAATTACTTAGCTACACAAACTAAGCAATGTGACTAACAAGGTTACTCAAACCGAATTAGTCACGCAAGGGGAGCTACTTCTATGCTACACAAGCAAGAAGGAAACTAGCAAGCTACACAAGCTAACTAATTACAAGAGCAACTATACAAGCATAATGTACAAAAAGTAAATACAAGCTTGTGTAAAGGGGAATGCAAACCAATGAGAAGACAAGGATGACACGATGATTTTTATCCCGAGGTTCACTTGGTCGCCACCAAGCTAGTCCCCGTTGAGACAAGCTCCAAGGTTGCCACCAGTCCTTTTGCTAGTGGTGACCCACAAGTCACACTCTCCTATGTGGAGTGCTTACCACAAGCTCTAGCGCTTGACACGGCCAGACCACACGTCGCCCTTCGTGTCTCGCTCTACTCGAGTTGCTCTTTGTGGCTCCAACGTGGCGTGCACAACACCCCTCACAATCTTCTCTAGAGCACCGCACAAGCTTTCTTGTGTGCTTCGATGGAGATGACACCACCAAGCCATCTAAGACATGGCATCCTCCAAGAGTAACAAGCACCACCGGCTTGCAACTCGATCACCTAGTGCCACTTGATGCAATCACTCAATACAATGCAATAGAAATCGCTCACTTCGCAATTGGATAGCACTCTTCCAAGCACAAGTGAGTTAGAGGGCTCTCAAACCAAGCATACATATGGGCAACACATTCCCAAGGTGCTCAACCTCAGCCAAGCCCAAGCTCCACCTCTATTTATAGCCTCCAAGTCAAATAGAGCCGTTGGAGCCATGGAACACATTTTTGCACGGTCACCGGACAACAACGTGTGGGCACCGGACATAGGGTGGCAGTGCCCCAATGGTCGAATGGCAACAGCTATTTCAAACTAGCCATTGTACAAGTGGGCACCAGACAAGGGGTGACGGTGCACCACCCTAGGGGTAGCGGAGCCCCGCGGCACCCAAAACGAGTTTTTGTCCCTCTCTGGAAAAATATGGCGGTGCTAGGCACTGGACAGTCCGGTGACCATGGTGGTGCCCTCTTCAGCTCAAACTTGATTTCCACCACTTCAAGCTTGTAGATCTACTGGTTAGCTTTCCAAAAAGTCCTAGATCATCAAAATCGGAGTTCGGAGCTAAGAGTTATGCCCAAAATACGAAAGGGTGTCGCTGCAGCCCCTAGCACCGCCCCTGGCACCGCCCGGTGGTGGCGGTGCCCTGTCCGGTGCACACCGGAAAAGGTGGTGCCACCCTCTACAATGGTTGCAAGTTGGCCACAAGTTAGGTTGCAACTTCTGACCCCCGGACAACCAAAACCTAGTCCTTTTCTTTGCCTTTTGAACTCCGAATTGATCCAAAACAACTTCAACACCTTCTCCTTTGCAAATGTGCCAACACCACCAAGTGATCATCGTCTTGCGCATATGTGTTAGCTTTTCACGAAAATTTTCCCAAGGATTAGCCAATCAATTCACCACGCCACTCGATCCTAGCAACGATGCAAAGTTAGGTCACTCAAGTGGCACTAGATGACCAATATACAAACAAGTTTGCCCCTCTTGATAGTACGACCATCTATCCTAAATCCGGTCATAAACTTCTCTACACACCTATGACCGGTGAAATGAAATACCCTATAGGTTATACCTTTGCCTTGCGTATTTCATTCCATCTCCTCCATCGTTGATGAACACATGCACCAACACAATCAACAATGATATGATCCACTTCATATCATCACGTGACCATATTGGTTCATCGATCTTGACTTCACTTGCTCTTCACCGTTGCTTCGGTCCATAGGCGCCAAGTCATCACTCAACTTGCCCTTCACACTTGCAACCGGTCCATCAAGCTAAGTCTTGTCTTGATCTTCTCCACCCTAGTCACATGACTCAATGTCATGTCTCATGTAATGAGCTCCTTCGTCACATGTGTGAGCTTTGCAACATATCCAAGCCAACACACCTCCATAGCATGTGTTGCTCACACAAGTGTATATGTGGACTAATCACCTGTGTATCTCACATTGAAACACATTAGTCCACCTAGGTTATAACTCAATTACCAAAACCAAACAAGGGACCTTTTAGGTTCCCGGATAGTGACGCGCGAGTCCCATCCCACGGTGCGAGGCTCCTGATTCTGCAACGCTAGGCATTTGGCGGCCCCGACATGCGGCTCCTGGTGGAGATGTGAAAAAGATGACCTAGATGATCTTATGGATGTGATCAGGCAAAAGCTCATGGAAGAACCTAAAGGAGAGGAGCAGAAGCTTGAATATGGATGTGGTCAAAAGTTCAGATGACATTGCAGAGGTGACATGGATGTGGTTGAAACTTCATAACTATTGCATCCTCCATTTATATTTCTTGTAATTATACATTTAGCAATTCTTGTAATGCGAACTAAATAATGTTGCATAGGTCCTCCAATAGGGAAACAAATGAACCTACAACAGAATTGAGCATTGATGAGAGATCAGCCAAAAAACTAGAAATAGCTACTGCTTATACATTTAGATCATCCAAAGTAACAATATTGACATAACATGTAGTGGCACACATAGAAACTGAATTTTGTTGCAGTTCACTATGAACCAAGGGCATAAATGTCTTTGTACACTGGTCATAGATTTTTCACCATTTATAGATGGTAGTGACACCCATAGAAGGTAAACTAATTTTCGATGACACTCATGTCCAGACCAATTTTTCAGTGGCTTGCCCGATATCATTGAATCATTCAGTGACACACACGGAATTTTCTCGAACAACAAATGTTTGGAGACGAAGAGTCACGCCACAGCCACAAGAGATGAACGAATTGCGAAGGTGACGCGTTTGGGCCAATGCAAACTACTGATAGTACAGTTTAGAGAAAAAGGGGATGGGTCCTAGTAGGATTCAGAGGCCCGGAGGCTCTGCCCCGCTCAAGCCACTCCAGGACCGGGCCTGATCCGAGGAACGCTTGATTGCAGGCCCAAGAGTCTACTTATAGTTACTACTCCTACCTAGGCTATCACCACTCTTCCGATCGATTATCGATCCCCGCCCCCTTCCCCACGAGGGCACGGCGGCGGCCGTCCATCGATCCATCGAGGGAGCGGATCGGAGGCATGGATCAGGAACAACCAGCAGCTGGCGACGCGGCGAACCGAGGCCACCGGAACGAGGCCGTGGAGGCCGCCTTGGTCGCCTGCAGCCGAGATGATGAGGCGTTGGAAGACGTGAAGGCCCAGGGTTTAGGCGAGTTCAACGACTTCGTCACGGCGGCGGCAAGCACCGCCACAGCGGTGGCCGACGCGCGTTCTGAGGATCAGCTGCCGCGACAAGGGTCTGGGAACTCCGGGCCCCGCAGCGGCAGGGCGCGCACCGGAGCCACCACGGCGTCGGTGGCTGCCGCGCCCGCGCCCTCGCGCGTCCGCCAACATGAAGGGGCGGGACAAGCGGCCAGCACGTCCCTCTTTGAGGGCTTCAGCGACGACGAGGATGCGAAGGCGAGGGATATGCGTGAGTTCGACTACTATATCAAAATGCAGCTGCAGCAGCAGCAGACGCAGCAGCTTCTTACTGGTCTCCAGCAGCATCCCTCTAGCTCCCTCCTCGACGGAGGGCGGCGGTGGCGGCGAGGTGGCGCCAGCGCCAGCATCTCATCTGGATCTTGAGCTCAGACTGTGAACTTACCTTGCATGGCGAGACTCAAGATCCACAACCGTACCGGTGATACAAAACTCTTGTCGACGACCTTATGCAATATGAATCTTTTGAAACAGAACTATCACACTATATCGAATTAAGTGTTAAGCTAATAAATAAGTTGCTCAAGCTTTGTAACTTGCAGTGTGCTGCATGTTCTAATTCATTAGCCGGATTAACAGTTGATTATTAGAATCCAAAGTAGCTTCTGCAGAACGTGTTTGCTTTGAGACTCGAGAGTACCCAACCGCAACTCCATCTTAATTTGTTTGGAGGACCACGTTTCATCTGGTCGACTTGAGACTCGTAGGTCTATATAGCATTCAGTAGACAGTAGCACAGCAATGTTGGTCTCTCATCTTGCTGCCTGCCAGATAGTAGCTCAGCAATGTTGGTCTCTCATCTTGGGATATCAGTAGTCAAGTCGCGGTTGCCGTTGGCATCCGCTCGTTAATCATTTCTGTGTACCTTAGTACTCCCACCGTACCTCAGAGACCAGCGTCTAGAGAAGGCATCAAAGTTCCCAACTCCTTGGTACTTTCACTAGACATTAGAGCAATCCTAGGCGGCACATTATTATAAACTATATGTTGGATGTTGCTTAGACTGTATGTTGGATGTAGACTTACGTTGCCCTCTGAATCAATTAAAAATGAAGTCCGAAATTCTTGTTGTGTTTGTTTATGTATTCCTTACCGACCATTCTTCATGTCTAGGTTTTGGTTATTTATTACAATTGTCATCTAGACAAGCACCTCATTGTACATACATGCATTCAGTTTTTTTCTTATATGACATGATATGCTTGTTTCTTTTCTATTTGTTGAGGGTTGAATAAATTCACTAGAAAGTTCACAGTTTCTCTTTTCTTGTACTAGTTTTAAACTGAACTTTGGCAAGCATATCTTTCAATCTGAATCATCACCCTTAATTTTTTTGAACTGTCACCGGGGGAGACCATCCCACCTGAATAGTATTGATTATCATTAATAGCCTCGTTTTTAGGAAACGGGGCAAAAACCCTGCCGTCCAGTTAACATTTTGGAAAACCGGACTAAAACCTATACAGGAGCCCAGCACAAGGGCTCACAACTGGATTCAGGTTCTTTGCGCGAGTGCCTGAGGCACTCGGCAAAGGTCAAATTATACTCGGCAAAGTCTTTGTCGAGTGCGGCACTGGCAAAGAACACACGGCAAAAAATTGATCGGCAAAGTCCTCTTTGCCGAGTGTCTTTTATCGGGCACTCGGCAAAGAAAAGCGACCATCACGAGGCGCCGCCCCGTTGACGGTCGGTTTGCCGAGTGCCAACCCTGCAGGCACTCGGCAAAGATTTTTTATTTTTTTTAAAAAAATTCTTTGCCGAGTGCCCTCTATCCGGCCGTCGGCAAAGATGTTTTATTTTTTTCTAAAAATTCTTTGCCGAGTGCCCCCTGGCCGGCGCTCGGCAAAGTTTCAATTTTTTTTAAAAAAAAATTCTTTGCCGAGTGCCCTCTGGCCGGCACTCGGCAAAGTTTGAATTTTTTTTAAAAAAAAAATTCTTTGCCAAGTGTCATTCATGGCACTCGGCAAAGCTGGAAAAATGGTTTTTCGAGCGCCCATTTTTCCAGCTTTGCCGAGTGTTGTGACCATGGCACTCAGCAACGGGGTCCTTTGCCGAGTAAAACACTCGGCAAAGTGACCCAAAACGGCAATTTTAATTTTTTTTACATTCCATTATGACAAATAAATTCATACAAACATATATCACATATATATCTCATCCATCACATATATATCTCATTCATCACATATATATCTCATCCATCACATATATCTCATCCATCCACACATCCATCCATCACAATATATATCACATATATAATAATAAGTGCTTAAGTCCATCCAAATAAATCCACAAGTCCATCACAAGTCCATGAAAGTCCACAAATGCATCACAAGTATATCACAAGTGCATTACAAGTATATCACAAGTCCATCACTTGGTGAACAACAAATGAAACAAATACAACGTGCACTCATCTCGGCCACTGCGACTGTAGTGAAGTTACAAATACAACGTGCACTCATCCCAGCTCCATCATTTGGAGGTGCATGAGGTGGATTATTCGAACCACCGTCAGATAAAGACTGCACAAAGGAGAAAAGATTGCATGTGAGACAAGATTATTTGGATAGCTAATCTAGGAAGGTAGAGGCCATACAAGCAAAGCACAAGCGAAAGTAAAAAACTTTCATACTCATAGGAGTAGCTGCAGCTGCAAGACGCGGAGGCGGAGGTGGAACCAACAGCCCAGCTAGCAAAGAGAAGCACACACGTTGCCCAAGCCCTTGTAGGAACTCCGTAATGTCCGTCAGCCTCTGCGCCTAGGCCTACCGCTCGGCCCGCTCGGCCTCCAGCTGGGCCGCCATCCTCTGCTGCCCGGCCTCCAGCTCCTGACATTGCCTCATTTCTTGTTCCAGCCGGGCCTGCAATATTTCACTCTAATGTTTCAGTAATGCAAAGCTAATTAAGGTGAGTAAAGATCAATGTATGACGAGTAAAATAGGAATAACCTCGAGTGCATCGACCTGGTGCTGTGCAGCGGTCGGCCGTGTGCGAATGGCCGGGCTCTCTCTCATGCTCTATGCTCGGATCTGGGAGAGAGAGGGAGTAGAGGCAGTGTCGATAATGCCGTCGCCAAGCCAGAACCGCCCATGCTTCTTGCCTTGCCCCGCCCTCATGATGGCTTCTCCATCGAAATCCTGGGTGCTCAGATCGTGGTCTGACCCATGGAGCGACCTCGCCACCTCAGTGTACTCACTGATGCGGGAGTGGACGCTCGGGTTTGTGTATGCCTCGGGTGGGTCCTCGAGGTTGAAGGAGACATCAGACGTCGCATTGCCCTTGTGGGCCATACACCATGCCTAGAAGTCCGAGCAAGCCTGGCCACTATGTGACGCCGATTGCGAGAAACACAGCACGATGATTAGAAATCAGGCAGAACTGAGCGTCACAATAGATAAATGAATTCACGTACCCATGCTTGTTTGTATCCGGCGAGGCTGCGGCTGCCTTGATGGTGTGCTGGACCTTGCATCTACAAACGACGGTCTCGGGCATCCCTGTGCATCTTGAGGTACTCCTCCATGAACCACCTCTCCACCATCATCGCCCAGCACTCGGGATATGCTTGGTACCACCAGGGAATCATATACACGTCATCAAGTATTGGACATATAAGAAGATCAAATTCAACCAACTTAATCTCAAAACGAATCAATATTGATGTTCTTCATTTACCTCAAGGTACTGCTCCCGAGTCAGCTGCATCTCTCTTGCGTCTTTCTTGGTTTTCCTCTCTCTAAGCTTCGACCCATAGTAGGTTACGATGGCCTAGATGCGCACCTTGTGATGCATGTCGGTGATGAGTTTTTTATAGGCTTTGGTAGTCACCTGCTCCGCCCTGGCCTCAAATCTCTCCTCGCATCTATAATAAGTCTGCATACAAAAGCAATGTATCCATTCATTATTTCAAGAAAAGTCCAATGAATGCGATGTATTGAGCAATGTTGTGCGAGGGAGACTTACCCAAAACTCTGCCTTCACCGTGCCACCTTGTTGGGGTACTCCGCATCGGGGGCGATGGCGTAGTGGTCAAACGAGTAGGCCGGCTCCATCTTCGATGCGTACGTGACAATGCTGGGGAAGTGTTGCCTGCATAGAAGACCCAGGATGCTGTTGACTAGCCGTGCGCTACCACCCGACACAACCACCTAGTTCCTGCACAAGTGATTAAGAAAAATTATTAGTTTTTTCATCATATCATATGAAGTAGTGGTGATAACATATAAAGTTACTTACTTTTGCTCTTGAGGCAAATCACTGGGCGTTGGTGAGGAAGTGGAACCTGTGGGAGTCTCATAGGACCTCGCAAGTAGACACTCGAAGAGGAGTCGGAGGAAGAAGAACCCGTGCCTGCCGCCTCCCCCTCCTCCTCCTCCTCGTCTATCTACCGAACTAGCTCCTCGTTCGACTCGTCCACGGGCGCCACCTCCTCCTCCAACTCCTCCTCACGCGGCGTGGGAGGAGACAGCCCCCTCCTACGGCTGGCGGTCCTCCTCCTCCTCCTTCTATCCAATCCCTCCACTGCCCCCTCCGCCTCCTCCTGCAGCCGGCGTGGTCTTTGGTAAATCGAGTTCACGGACCTATGACGGTCGCCCGCCATCTTTGTTCAATCACCTGCAATAAAAAAGAAAAACAAGACGTAATTAGAAATAGGTGCAAAAATGAACAAAACGTAATTAGAAATAGGTGCAAAAAATGAACAAAACATAATTATAAAAAATATAGTATTACATGTATTAGAAATAATCTTCATGATTGAGATTAGCTGGATCATAGGTCTCGTCATCACTAGCAACATTGTCCAACTCATCAACACTATCCGAAGGAGGAATGTTGTCTTCATTGTCATTGCCTAAACGTAATCGCTCAAGCATTTGTATGTCCTTCAGATTTCGCACCTCATCTCCAGCGTCATCGTCATCATCCCTTTCATTGTCTACTTCCATTCCTATCTCTTCGGTTAAGTCTATGTCAAACCTCCCTTGTAGCCCCTCTTCTTGATAGAACTCTCCATCATATGTGCTTGGGTTGAAGTTGTAATCTTCATCGTTTGGGACAGGTAGTTTACCGTGTGGCGATACCTTGTGCACAATAGACCAACCCTTAAGATGCTCGGCGTCTTTGCACGCGTATGATGTATAATAAACCTGGACGGCCTGTTGAGCCACAATGTAGACATCTTTTCCTGGATAGACGGAATCCTGTCGAATCTCGACTAGCCCAAGTTTAGGGGTCCATCTCGTTACTCCAGGATGAAACCAGTGGCATTTGAATATGACAGGAGTAAGAGGTTTGGAACCATAGAATGATAGTTCGTTGATTTCTTCAATTCTTACATAATAGTCGAGTCCATCAGTGTCGGG